CCCTTCAGAACGTCTGATTTGATTTATGTATATATTTATAATTTTCGCTTTGCTCTTTTAATGTTCTTATGATTTAAAGCAAATTGTATACTAAATAATATTTTAATTCCCAAAAACCTGCAGGTTGCCAGCGAAATTGTTGTTGTTCATTTGGGGCCACTAAAATGTAGAATTTATATGAAATATATAAAACATATACATAACCATACATGTACATATATTTGTGAATTTAAATTGTATCCAATAGTTTTTATATATTATAGCATAAGCCGATAATATAATTTTTATATTATATTTGACCTAAGTTGATATTTCTATTATTTTAGCTGAAATCGTAATTATTATTATTTTTTTTAACAAAGTCTAAAGTACATAAATACTGTTATTTAGCGTTTGTAAATGCCTTTAATTTGTTTGCCTTAATTTTGAAAGCAAACAGTTTTGCTTAGCTGAAAAAGTTCTACCCTGCGGATGAAGTTATCGAACAGCTGGTCAAAAGTGTTGTTTGTTTTACATAAAGGTGTGATCTTCAAAGATAATTCACAATTTCGCAATCGAGTGCTAATACACATATACACGTATTTTCGAAAATCACAGTTTCATTACCGCATTATCGCAGTATTATTATCCTAACAGTTTATTAGAAAACAAGTACTAAAATGAAAAATTATTAATTAGGGGCATTACCACCTACATACGAGTGTATTTATACCTATACTTACGGTCAAAAGAACTTCATTGGAAAATTAACTGGCCCAAGTGTTTACAAAATCATTGGTCGAATTGAGGATATACTCGTATTTCGGCTCCAGCTGCGCTTATTGTCTAGATTTATACTGATATACTATGAGTTTTAATAGTATCTACACTCAAGCGCCAACCATTGAGTATTTTTTTATGCTTTAGACCTAACAGAAACCATTAACAATACATTGTTGCAATATTAGCATAATCGATTCAATAATTTTCGATTTGCATATTTAATTGAGAAGTTCTCTTATAGAGCATGACGAATACACTTTTGTTCTTACACAACAAAGTTTTGAAGTAAAGTTTTGAATATAAAATGGTTGAATGGATGGATAAAGATCAAATTGAGTTAGGAGTTAGGGTGTTTAACATTATAATGTCTCTTTGTACAAGTAAACATTTTACAGTTTGCATTAATCAAGATATTTTTTAAATAAAACTTATATAGACATGTAGTAAAATCATTCGACTAAATCGAAAATATGAATTGAATCGCGGCAATATTCACTATACGATACAGTTTAAATATTACTTATTTTATAGTTCGATTTAATAGTCAGATAAAAGTTTGAAAATTTTAAGTACAAAAAGAATTATACGATATGATAACATATTAAGGGTTCTAACAAAAGAGATGCTGTGAACGGTCGTCATCTGTTTAAAAAATTCAAATCATTAAAATACATAACATAAATTTAATAGTATAATTTAAGCATACATATGAATGCGTGAAAGCAAATAATTTTTTTCGTAGATGGTTTTGTCTAAGCGATAACATCAATTTGAACCAAATTTGGTACATATACATAATACCTTTACAGCACTTTTACAATATAATAATACTTTTCATGCCATGCCGACACCTCCTTTTCTACATCTGACTTTATACCGAAGTATTCTAAGCAAATTAAATGAACATCTTTTATGTTGACATTTGACAATAATGTGATCTGATAAATAATTGTTAACGACGATTCAGTACATTCTCTAGCTTCCATATACACATACGCCTGTGATTACATATTTATTCCACAAATAAAATCTGGTTCGTTTTCTATATAGTTTCGACATTTTCTTCGGAATGAGAATTTTTGAAAAGTCGGCAGGTAAAACTCAGAGTTCTTTAGCTTAGAAATCACAACAGTTGAAGCCAAAAAACCGCATCGGCAACAAATTAAAAAACGTAAATTTGTGTCTACAAACTTGAAATAATAATTTTGGATATATTTATTGTCTTTATAATCTCAATGGTGGAAAAATTCTGACTTATTTCTAATTATACACATGTATATATTAAATACAATGACAATCACAATGTAATCAGTTACTCGTTAATTACTCTTTTATACTAGTATCTCGCCACATTGTTTTATGACATTAGCCATTAACAACTGTCAAATGCATGATTTGCGACAATAGCAAGATTCAAAACTAAAAGTGCTACTGGAATATCAACAAAACAACTACAATAACAAATAAAGCAATGTGTCGACTTAAAAATATATTTGATTTTATGCGTGTGTGTGTATGTTTAATGTACAAATTAGCATCATTATTATTATAAATTGGTTTTAGTTGCCACTTTGCGTATAAATTATCATTCATGTCGTTGAGCTCATGTTTGCGCTTCAGTTGTTATTTATTATTTTGTTTCAACTCTTTCGTAAAATTCTTTTCATATTTTTATTGTCATTTTGCATTAGTGTCATAAATGGCACAATTGAATTACACGCAAATTGTCTATAGAAACACCGAGACACTTTTAGATTTATAGGCATGAATATAAATATTCGAATGCACTTGTTGCCTGTTTCGTTTGGTTGTAAATTGTTTTTTTTTTTTTTTGAATTTATTTTTAAATATTTGGTTGCTTTTAACAATGAATTTCTGTCTGACAATTTTACACGCAATTATCTCAGCACACAAATCGCTCAATGTCATAATTGACTACTTTGACGGTCAAGTCCGCGCGTTTCTCTGTATTTACACTTTGTGCTTTCACGCTACGCTTATGTTGGATATATATTGACTATATTATAACCGTGCATATGGATATGTGTGTTTGTATTTACGGCTGCAATATTTTGACACCTAATTACAAATTGCCAGATAAATGGCCGGCCTTTCGTCAATCAATAATAAAATGGTTTAAAAATTGTATTTACTTAATAAATAAATGATAATGCTCGTGACTTTCGCTATTATTTATACAATAACAACTAGTTCAAAATAAAATAAAGAAACTTGCGCAATATCAAAATAAATATGCGATTTTGATAACTTTTCAAGCATTGTGCATAATAATTTTAATAATTTAATATTTAACAATTCTCAATCGATTTTGAAGCATATTTGTTAAAATGTTATATATATATATATATCATTTTCTGATCTTTTTTGTAGATATAAATGACATGTGGATTTCGTTTCGAGTGTCAAATCGAACAAACGTTTGATATAAATTAAATAAACTGATATAATCAAACGTAACCGGAATCTACAGATGCTCTTGAGATTGTATTTAACTATAAAATATTGTTTTGCTTTCACAAATCTATTTTTTTGATTTTCGGTAGAAAAAAAGCTAATCAAAGACAACCTTTTTATTTTGTAATAAGCGGTTTATAAATATCTATGAAACTAGTTGCTATCAAAGTTACATTATTCAATATTATTTTTTTGTAATAAATAATGGAATCAGCTAAATTTTTATTTATTATTTAATATGAAATATTAATAATTTGCAGGTTTCCACATATTTAAAAAAAAAATCCAGCGAAGAAATGTATGTTGACAAAAATGAATAAATTCAAATAATTTCAGAGAAAAAACGCGCGTTTTCAACAAGAAAAGAAGAGCATTAATTATGTATAACATTAAAAAACTAATAAAAGTATGTCATCCTTTATGCTTTTTAAGAAGCTTTAACAAGTGGCAAAGCAATATTTTCGCTGCCACACATCATTAAGAGCTGGCAAAGTGCCCTGTCTGTTAGTATTTAGAAATGTGCACGACCTGTCCTACTCTACAAACAATGCTCGCGTAAGAATCGCCTGATTATTGATTACTCAAGTTTTCAAAATTGCAAAAAGGTATGCGTGAGAAAATATCTAGCTGCCTTGACGCCTTAATAATTACTTTGGACTTTTTGAAGAACTTTTACTTGACCTTCATATTTTTCTTAATGGGTTGTTTTATTTTTAGTTGCAACCGTGATAGCCAAAGCAGTTGTTTGTGGATTCAAATTTTCGAATGACAAATGGTTAATTTTTGCCATATTTTTTAAAACAATTTTGCTTATTACTCTCACAATACTCTAACACAATACGGTGGTTTTATATCAATGACGTTATTATAGCAGAAAACCAAAAAAACTATTTGATATACATACAAGTATATCTTACGTAAATTTTTTACTCTTTTTATTTAAGTCAACCCAAAGCCCAAAGTACGGAAACCTAAAATGATGAGTAACATGTGTAACCTTTTTTAAATCCCTGTCATTTAGTTAGATTTTTAAATATTCAGAAAAGCTTTTATCTGGTTATAAACAGTACGCAAAAAAATCTTAAAGGTTCTTAAGCTCCAATCTTTTGCCATGAAGTCCAATATGTCGCACGTCGGGAGCGATGCATCCAAGCACACGTCAAGGAAAGATGCGTCTATATTACAGTTTAAGAATTAACTAACGATAAAAAAAAAATTGTTTCCAAATATCATGTGCCATTTTTTTGTAAACTATCGTCAAGAAAAGACCCGAAATTGGAGCGTGAAACAGACGACCTCCTTAAGTATGTAGTTTGAATTTCGATTTTCTTCATAATCTGTTGGATTAAAATTCGCGTGTTCTCTTATTTTGAAATTGTTTGCCATTGTTTATATTTTTTACACCCGAACTTATGTGTATTTTCCGCTGAGTGATTTATGAACTATGCCGATTAGATTAGCACATTTCAAGTGAAAATATTTAACAGGAATATTGTTTATAGATATAAATTTCTAATAACTAATGATTGCGCTAAACCAATTCATATCAAAATTATATATATATTTTTTTCAAATTCAAAATAGCCACTAATCCCGCTGTGCTCTAGAAATTTTAATGCGATTTAAGTAGTATTTAAATGAAACGAAATTGAATAAATATATTTTAATAAGCAAAATATGTGTGCTTCAGCACACCAACTTTTTTGTTATATACTGTATTTACTCGTATATGTCTCAATTACACTATGTATGTGTTTGTCCAGTTATTTATGTGTCATCAAATGGCGATGAAGAAGGAAGCCAATGACAAATCGAAGGCCGCCGAACTTCGAAGAGCACAAATCGGTGTAAGTAAACGATAAATAACCGAAAGGTCTAAACTAAACGTTTCGTAATGTATAGTATGGTACTTCTAAGGAAATTCGAATGAGCGTGAAAATAAAGAATTATAAAAAAAAAGCAATTGTCTGACTCCGAAAATACTGAAATTGCACGGATGTTGCTTAGTGTGCTTCAAAATACATACATATGAAAAAAAATTATATCTATAAATTCTGATTGCATTACATAATACTCAGCTAACAGTCTATAATATTTAAATATGATTATTACACATATATAAATACTTTTTAATGTCTCTAAAAGCGAATCTATCAACTAATTGCAACATATTTGAGCTTATCAGTCAAACTTACTTGCTCGAGTGTCGTAACAAAATGACGCGCCTATGCAACCCTGCTTCTTTGTAAAAAAAAAGTGAAAAAATATTAAAAAACTAAAATTTAATTATTGGTATTGAAATGTGGTGATTGTAATTAGATGTCGTGTAGTAAACTTAATTATATATGTATATACTTAAATTATTAACTTTGTAAACGCATACTTTAATGGTTACTTAATTTTTTAGGTTGGCGTACCAATTGTCTGGATTTTGGGCGGTCCCGGTTGCGGCAAAGGCACACAATGCGCGAAAATTGTAGAGAAGTACGGATTCACACACTTGAGCTCCGGTGACTTACTGCGCGCAGAGGTGATTACTTATAGCATAGGTATAATACAATAAAATAGTCGACTTCGATTAGGAAGAGAGTAGTGGAACGAACAAACAACTGCTATAATTGCATTAAACTGGTATAATCAGTATAGTATAGAGCAACAATAACAAGCGTCTAATTTAATGAGCCGTTTTCATACTCTCCGTTATCATTTCGACTTGTTAACTTCGTTATTGCGTTCCCATGTAACATGTAAATGTTTTGACAAGAGAGCCAGTATGAAACATAACGCGCTTGATAGTTATTTTCAAATAACAATGAACATTTTTTCTTCATTACACAGGTGGCCTCTGGCTCCGATAAAGGTCGCGAATTGGCAGCCATTATGAAAGAGGGGAAATTGGTGCCGAACGAAGCTGTCTTGTGCCTGCTAGCCAAAGCTATTGCCGATCACAAGTGCGATTCGAAAGGCTTTCTAATTGATGGGTGTGTGCAGATTACATTTTATTTAATTTTCAAAGATTATTAGCCTCTTTTTTTTGTTATTTGCAGTTACCCACGCGAGAAGGATCAAGGCGCAGCTTTTGAACGTCAAATTGCACCAGCGGATCTAATTATCTACTTTGATTGTTCGGATGTAAGTATATACTGTTCATATTTTATTGAAAAATTTATCCATATAAATTGTCCATTATTTACCTCAAAAGTAAACCTAGTTTTTGCACCTTGATATCTGCTAGATGTTGTTGGTATTTTAGCGGTTACAAAAACTTTGTTTAGTGATAAAAACAAGAAATAACGTTAACTTCGGTTGCACCGAAGCTATAACACCCTTCACAAATACGAAATGTTACTTACAAGAATTTGATTCCGATCGTTCAGTTTGTATGGCAGCTATATGCTATACTGATTCGATCTGAACAATTTCTTCGGAGATTGCATTATTGCCTTAGATAATGATCTCTGCCAAATTTCGTGAAAATAACTCGTGAAGATTTCTCGTCAAAGCACTTGACTCCGATTGTTCAGTTTGTATGACAGCTATATGCTATAGAAGTCCGATATTGGGGAGAAAAGGAGGTATGCAAATTTCCAGATCGATATCTCAAAAACTGAGGGACAAGTCTCTCAGGCGAATCTTTGAAAGAGCAAACTACTCATACACATATATAATTCCATCAACTTATTCGTCTTAGCGCCAAATATCTCTAATATCAACAAATATCTTGAAGCTTATAAGTGTATCAACCCTAAATTGATCCAACTCTCTATCATATTTTCTCAAGCTTTCATAAATAAAAAAATTATATATTTCCGTCGAATTCATGGATTCCCATCCTTTTGATTTCTTTATTTCCAAGTAGAAATCATATTTATATTAATTTTTTTTTCGTTTATCAAAAAGTTTATTACAGTAAAAAGAAGCCTATGTAAAAAATTACTAAACCTTTGTCTATTGTTTTTATTTTAAGGATGTTATGGTTCAACGTATTATGGGACGTGCGGCTGCTTCCACAGAGGTGCGTGCCGATGACAATGAGGATACCATCAAGACTCGTTTGACCACCTTTAGAACAAATACCAATGCCATTCTAACCCAATACATCGAGAAGACGATAACGGTAAGTGGCAGACAATGCCTTACAAATAAATATATTTATTTACTAAAAATATGTTGATTACATAATTTGTAATTTTAATATTTTTTTCCTATTTTATTTTGTTTTTCATTTATATGCAGCTCAATGCCGAACGTTCCGCCGATGATATTTTCGTGGATGTGCAACGCGCACTGGATTGTTTGATACAGAAGAAGGCTCAGGCGGTGGCATGCGCCTAATTAATGACTCAACAACAACTGCAAACACACATGCATACATACAAATGTATGTGCATAAATTATTTATTCTTTAATTAATTTTACGTGAACTCACGTAGATATAAATATTATAGCACAATTCAAACACACATACCTATCTACAAATGATATTAGCTAATAGCAAAAAACCAAAGAAAATGGAGAAAGCAAAGAAAATGGAAAAATCAAACAGCATAACTTAAAGATACTTAAAATACACCTCAAATTATATACGGCCAACTTGTGTGGCAAAAAGAGTGACTCAAGCGTACATAATTCCCATAACTTGAGCGCTTGAGTAAGCAGCTATGGGTAATTGCTTCATAGGCGTGCAAAAATCTATTCTTAAATTGTAGTACAACCATAAAGCTCTCTAAGAGAAATACATATGTGCTTTAATTAAAAATTATAACGTACTTTATTTACTTAATGCAATACAGCAAAGAAATTACAAATTGTTACCAACAAAAGCAATTGTCGCAATAAAAACTATTAACTAATGATTTTATCAAATTATTTTTATTTATAGAAGAGATTGAGCTTTTTCAGAGTTGTTAATTAAAATACCGCTATTTTCAAACTAATAACCATAATTAGTAGCTCAACGCTTTGTATGCAGTACAGGGTGTTTACAGAGAAACCATACGATTTTATATAGGGTATTTTGTAGCGATGTCGAATTTCCTATAGGGATATCAACCAAAGTAAACAAGAATGACATTTATGTTCAAAATACTTTGGCAAACCACCAAACAAAGTCTGGCACAATGTATAATATATTTCCAAATTTACATTTTCTACGTCAAACCATCACCGGTGATTAGTCACATTTCTGTTTTATCACGTAAAGAAATAGCCAAATCCGTTCAGCAAGTGAAAGCATTACTTTATTGTTTCGACCTGTTTGCAACCGAATCATATCACGAAATGAGCCAAAAAAATGATAATATTGATCATTGACTTGACGTACTACAAGTATGGAGTCACACTCGCCGCACGATCTCTTAGTGGTATTTCGGTTTTAATGTTCATGGTTTTGAAAAATCTATATAGTGACAGTCCTTGAATTAATGCAATCTTAAGATTATGATGAAGTTTTGGGAAATACGTAAATTCATACAATTTTAAAAAAGCCGACCTCTATTGCTTATCAACTTTGCTTCTGTTGTATATACCATCCATTGGAACTCTCGCTCAATTCTCTGACAAATTCTACTGCACTAAAAGGCAAAATCTATTTTGATCAAGAAAAACTCGGCTTGATATTTTTAGGATATATAAACATTTAGTGTACCCTGAACAGAGTGTATTAAGTTCGCCTTGAAGTTGGTAACGCACAAAAGGATCCGCCGGAGATCCTATAAAACATATATATACATGGTCTCTATTTACGCGAACTAATCCCTCAGTTTTGGGAGATATAGATCTAAAAAACGTCCTATTTCCCCCAAGAAGCATTTAGTTTGTAAACCCAAAATATATTATAATATTAATATATATCGGGCCACCATGGTGCAGTCGAAATTTAACGTTTTTTTAAATAGTAAAGTATACAAAAATTCACAGATTGGCTATGATTTGCCGTTACCCCTCTCCTTTTTATACCCTAAACAAGGTATATTAAGTTTGCCACGAAGTTTGTAACACCCAGAAGGAAACGTCGGAGACCCTATAAAATATATATATAAATGATCAGCATGATGAGCTGAGTTGATTTAGCCATGTCCGTCTGTCCGTCCGTCCATCTCTATATATGCAAACTAGTCCCTCAGTTTTTAAGCTATCGATCTGGAATTTTGTACCTGTCCTTTTCTCACTAAGAAGCTGCTTATTTGTCGGAACGGCCGATATCGGACCACTATAGCATATAGCTGCCATACAAACTTGACGATCGGAATCTAGTGCTTGTATAGAAAACTCTTTCATTTGATGAGATATTTTCACGAAATTTGGCATGAATTATTATTTAAGGCAACAATGGAATTAGATCGGATCACAATGTCATATAGCTATCATATTAACTGAACGATCGGAGTAAAGTGCCTGCATGGAAATTGTATTTTTTATTGCCGATTCACGAAATTAGATCTGAATCAAGTTATTGTAAGGAACCTTTGTATCTGTGAAGGGTATTATAGCTTCGGTGCAACCGAAGTTAACGTTTTTTCTTATTTAGCCTAAGAAAGTAAGGTAAGCTTCAAACTTTATATTCAAGTATATTTCTAGAAACTGTTAATTATAAATTCTTATTAATTATCAACATAAAATTTACACAATAACAATCTCCCATTGAGAAAACATCTTATAAAGAAAAATATCTTCAGAAAGGATATAAACAAGTATTTTAACAATTTCCGTTAAAGCCGTAGATTAGTTCAACACCATTTAAAATTGGTGGTCGACATAGCTTAGATCTGTTATTCTATAACTTAAAATCTATAATCAGATTTTTTGTTTACAAAAAAAATTTGTCAACAATATTTTTTAAAATACATTAACATATCAGCATAATGCTAGGATACCTTATATATAATATTTTAATTATTTTATTTCTGCTACTGCACTAAAAGATTACGAAAAAATGTTTGACATAAATTATGGTCACAATTTCAGTCAAATACGCTTATAAAGACCAGTAATTGAATTTCTCATCAGTGTAAGTTTAGACGCGCTTACGGGACTTCCGTTTGGATGAAGGAAACATAAATTACTGCAGCGAAATTTATTTACTTGTCAGTAAGTTTATTTCACTTTTCTCCTTACAAAGACTTTTGTTATTAAGAATTCTTATTAAAATATATTATTATTATATTATATAAAACTAGTTGCTTGTGATAGAGCTTAAATTGGTGTTTGTTAATCGAGTTGTACACATACCTATGTATGTAACAATATTTTTAGGATTTTCATTCTTAATAGGTTTTAGGTTGGTGTCATCATTGAGCGAGGTTTCTAAAGCTATATGCAACGGTAAGCACAAAATGACCATATATGACGGAAGACTACGCATGGTTTATAGGGACAGAGTTGCTTTACTGACCTCATGAATAATATTCCGTCAAAATATTTAAGATTTCTTGTTAACAATTCCAGACCGGCTCCTGCGAAGCTTGTTTAGCTTGCATTAAAATTCTTATATTTCATACTTAAAGAAAAGAAGATTGGGTTTATGAAACAATCAATTCATTAATTTTTGGCGATTTATCAAAATTGCATTCTTAGATCTTCGAATTGATAGCCATATTCTTCTATTTATTTATTCACCAAATATTTCTGAAAAATCTTGCATTAGCTGCAAATATTGAACTATTGTAAACATTCTGACAACTTATTGCAATTATATTTTCCAAAAGGTGGCAACCCTTTTCAAAATTAAACATGTTTAGATGTTTACATTTACACATGAATATTAAGAAATTTAATTTATTTAATAATTTAATATATTAAAAAATTTAAAAGGGTGGCAATATTTTCCAAAATCATTTTTAAATGCAAGTACAAGTTTAGGTTGATAACCATACAAAAATAATTATTTTTCAAAACAAATTTTATGAGATTAAAAGATCAGAAGAGTTGGTAACCATTTTTGAAAAATAGTTTTACTGCATGATTTCTTAAACTTCTTCGCTTTGCTATGTTTCTTTATTTATCAACTTATTTTAATACATTTGACTATTACAGCGAAGAATTAAAAAAATGCAACCAAATCGGTCAAGTCCATATAGTGTGAGTGTCACATTATCAACTTTTTCGCACAGTTTCTTGGTGGTCGAGCGATTTTACTATCACATTTCAAAAAAAAAAAAATAATAATTAATGCACTAACCAATACTGGAAACACTTTATATCAATTTTCATTGCAAAATTTGTATATATGATTATCTCTATTCAGAGTTACAGGTATTTATAATGGAAATTCTGCTAATATACATATACAAGTATATACTCGGTAATTTAGAAATGTTCTAAATTAAGCTTACATATCAAGCGTAACAAATTCGATTTTAATTAAATATCGCGTTGGCGATAAAATGCTCAGGAAAAACTCAGCTACTAACATTAACGCTATAGTAAAGAAGTAATAAATTAATAATCTCTTGACAACGTAAAAAAGTTGATTGATGAAAGAACTGAATACCCCTTGGATTATAATTAAAATATACAAGTGCATAGTCGTAAATACCTCTATAGATAAAAAATATATGTACGATAGCCCGTTTTTGTACTGATACTGATATCAAGAGAAAAAATACGTTTTACCTTCCTCAATTAGCTATCAATTGTTATCTATTTGAACAGGTGGTCTTTGACCCTAGTGCTTCGGCACGTTTTTATTGTACGAGCTGCTGTCTTAATAGCTTTTAACTCTATGACTTAATATGTAGTAATTGTTTTGTAAGTGTTAATATGATATTTTCATTTGAAGCTAAAGTCATGGAAAGTGAAAAACTATTGTTAAGAAAAGAAAAAAAAATTAATGCGATTGTTTAAAACTTGTATAGCTAAGGCCTTGACTTAGTTGCTATTGCGCACACCTTTTAAATTAATTTATCTACCGATTATTCAAATTAATACACTATTTGACAAGAGGAATTTAAGTAAGTGCAGATTTAAATAACCAATTCAAAAACTTTAAGCTAAGATTTCTTCTTAGAAAATCGCCCGGTGTTATTTATATAATTCATATATTGATTTTATAAAGTTAAACCATATTTTGCAGGTAAGTATTCATTCATAATATGGTAAAAACAGGCATGAATATAAAAGCCGTTGACAATGCGGGATGTACAAGGTTGTTAACAAACTTAGAGATGCTTGATTGCATCTGAATTCCTTTATGTCTTCTATCACATCCCTGATTACTACACCGTCAAGTTAGCTCCTGGCGGTTTCTTCTCTGCCCTCATAGCTGAGAAAACTGTGTGGGTAAAGCATATCATGCTAGAGGACAGTTGCAGTGAGGTAACGACTTTAGGTTGCAAGGTTGATGAGCTTCCAAAACAGACCAACCTCATTTCATTATTACCCGATTGGCGGCTGGTAAAAGTTCACTAGCACTCTTGCAGTATAGTCGTGGACAGCTGATTCCTATGCAATGTTAGCTCAATAAAGCAGCCTTTTTTAGTTATAGGCCTTCTGACTAGAAAGAAGAGAGATATAATAATTTCCGCAGAAAAACTATATGAACTGAGAAGGTTATGACCGAAAGAACGTGCCACTAACAAAAAACATCTATACTAGTCTTGCTAATCTTAACCAATATATGGTAAATGTTTCTAGACATTTCTTCGTTCTCAAATTATTAGTAAAAATATTAGTCTTAAATGAAAATGCTATTTTTTCAATATGCGAATTTCGCTTGGCGCGTTATAGGTATCGCGTTCGTTCACCAAGCCAACGTTACGTTATAAACTCGCCTCCTGCGACTATTTGAGAGTTCCCAGACTTAAAAATTGGTTTGCATAGTAAAGATTTCACTTAATTAAGGACGTTAAGATGAAAAAACAC